GTGGAGAGGGTGCCGGAGGAGGCAAGAAACGGAGGGCGAAGGGGCGGCCTCCAGGCAGGGCTTGGGCTCCCGCCGGGAAGCTGGAAGGAGCCCAGGAACCCGCTCCTTGGAGCCCAGCGGGTAAGAGGAACCGTCCTTGGCCTCGTAGGTGAGAAGCCACCTTTGAAGCGCTCCGCGCCGGGGGAGGCAGCGGGGGCTGCAGCGCCATCTCCTCGGCATTGCCACCGAGCAGGCGAGGGGGCGGCAGGCGGGGGGTGGGGGGTTCGGTTTTGGACCGTGCACACCTTCCTGCCGGAGGTGGGGACGCACTGCCCGGGCGCTGGGGAAGTCCGGCGCTGCGGCTGAGACAGGAGCTGGAACGGCAAGCTCAGATTGGTGCTTTAGCCTTGTGCCGTTTTTGGCCGGGATGACTTTGCGGGGGACTGCTCCGTTTTGCAGAGACCGCTGATGAGCCTGGAGTCTGCATCGTCCGAGGTTTAGCAGGAACTCAGACCAATCGTCCAGAGCCGGGGCTCCCCGTGGGCTTACAGACCCCTCAGCAGCCGCGTTACAGCAAGCCTCCCCGCACGGCTGGTGCCTGGTGACAGCTGACGTCCCTCTCACAGCCTGTTAAATCCCCCTTTGGCAGGAGATCCCTGACGCCTCAGCTTCTGGAGACAGCGGTGCTAAGGGCAGACCACGGTGTTAGGCAGGAGTGAATAAGAAGGCGTAGCTGACTGCAGGAGCATTGCTTCAAATAGTTTGCAAGCCTCTTGCTGGGTTTCCCCCCATTTCTGTTGCTGGGGACGCTGAAACCAGAGCTACAGACAAGCTCTCAACCTTTAAAAATTATCAGTAAAATGGTTTAAGTCTAATTTTCTCTTTAAACAAAAGTCAATACGAGGAAAGGCAAGAGCAGAGTGGTTCCCGAGGGAGGGATCCACAGCGAAGGGGGCACGGAGGAGGCGAGGGTGGCAGGAAGCCCCAGTGGGAAGCTGTGATTCGAGCGGCTGCCAGGGAGCAGCAGCAGGAGGTAAGGGAGGTGCTGGGCTGCAGAGAGTCCTCCAACAGGGTGGCACAACCCTGGGAAGGACTGGGAGGGCTGAAAAATACGCCAGATAGATAGATGGATATATCTGGGTGATGCGTAGCTCACCACTGTATTGCATGTTGAGTGGGCTGAAGAGAATAAGATCAGAGGCCGGAGGAGAGGACGTTTTGTACAGCAAGGACAGGGGGAGGCTGTATCTGGCAAAGGTTGATTTGAAGTGGGAACTCAAACATCTTTGTTTCCACCTCATCGTGATAACCAACTGACGCCAGATACTGAGTTTTGTTGTCATCTACGTGTAGATCATTTTCTATCTGTTCTGGGAAAAGAGAAACAAAATCTTTAGCACTACATGTTGTGGCTGTTTAAAGGACAGTAATCCTTTCTCCCTGCAGGTTGGCAAAGCCACCCGGGAACTGATCCGATGCCTTGCTCTCACTGGAGTTATCTATGGAGACGGCACTGGAAGCTGGCACCGGCATTTGCCAACCTTGCCCACAGCTATTTAGTACTTTGAGGTCTGTATTTCATGGCTGCAGGGAAAGTGCATGAAAAACATGGGAAAATTCTGAAATTGGCTTTGTGAATTCAGGCTGCTAAAAAGGACTGTAGGATGACAAGGTGAATACAAGTTGCTTGCAGATGTTTGGCAGAAGTCACCATATGATATCCACTCTTTTCTATGTGCAAGCAAGGCTTTAGTCATTGAAGAAATGCTAGACTGTGACTGATTTTTCTTATACAGTAGGTCTTTGAGGGGAGATGTAGACAGTGAAGCTTGGCCATTGCCTTGATCTTTATTTTTGGAGAAAATTCTGTAGTGAGAGTAGTCTCTTGGAAACCAGATATAGGTATGTCTGCCGAGTCATCTGGAAGAGGAGGGTGCCTGAATGCTGCCTTTCTCCCAGGACTGGCATACTTGTACAAATAAGCAAATTATAATTAGAATAAACCGGAATCCATATCTCTCATTCCCTCTCTCCTGGGAAAGATGGCTTGCGAGGCTTTGCAGTTTTCTCAGAGTTAGTCACAGGGATGGTATGAAGACGGCAACACTGATAAAGAAGGAGCCGCACAAAAATTCCATTGTCAGAGTGCACTGTATTTCTTTCTTTTTTTTTTTTTTGGTCAACCTTAGACCTCAATATGCTAAATGCATCTTTGTTGTAAGCCTTGCTGTGTCAACATGTGTCTCAGCCCAGTCGTTTGTCAAAATTCTGCAAAAGCAGAATTGTGTTGAGGTCTGAATAGTTAGCGGAAGAGTGATTTATTTATTCTGCATCAGCTGCTTGGATACAGTGTAATGATCACACAAATCTCTGCTGTATTACTCGGACAGAGGCCCAAAACGGAGTGTGGGGGCTGCCGTAGTAGCCTGGCACAGCATGTTGGTTTGGTGATCTCACCCCCTTGCCAGGGATGACATTGCTTCATGCCTGTACTACAGCTCCTTGTGTCCTCGGAGCTTGTCTTGAGCACAAGAGCTGTGGTTACGCACAGAGAGGAGCGTAGTGCCTGGACACAAAGCCACGGGGAAGCCGCAGCGGTCCTGGTACAGGCTGTAGTTTAGCCTCACTTTCCCAAGTAAACAGTGCAAAAAGTGAAAATACGGTAACTTCTAGAAAGTCGTCAGCCTTTTCAGTGACATTTTTCTCTAAAACCATTGATTGCAATGCAGATTTGATTTACAAGCTCAGCTTCCAACTGTTTTTCCTCAAAGTGAAAATCCAGCCCTGCCTGAGTCCTGCACGTGCTCCGCAATGGTTTTGCAGCTCTTGGGCTGCGTCCTGCCATGATGCTGCGCTTACGGCACAGCACGTGCAAAGACTTGGACAGTGCCGCCATCTAGCTTCAGTTTAATGAGTCAGCCGAAACCATTTATTCTCCCGGCGCAAAACTGAGAGAGCCAACAACAACCTGTTCTCTGAGTCTGCTCGTGTCTGAAACGCGCCTGTACCCAGAGCGGAAAAAACTCTCCCAAGGGTCATAACCAGAGAGTCCGAAGTGCGTCAGGATAGTTTCAAAGAACTGTCAGATTCTCGTGATCTCGGACGGTTCTCGCCGTGTTTGCACGGTTCCGAGAGAGAAAGCCGAACGCTTAAAGAGCAGGAGGCCGTACTACGCAGCACATAACCGAACGGGGACAGTGACTTCGCAGCCTGTCGGAAGGAGTCTGTGAATTGCAGCCCACTGGGCGGAAAGCCGGTTGGGTACTCAAACACTGAGCGCAGGCACCGCACTCGGACCGCTGCTGCAGAAGGAGTTCAGAAATGGGAGCAGCGGTGCTGTGCCCTGGTGCCTGGCCACCTGCGGGTGCCTGCCCAAATTGCCTGCTGGCTTGGGCGAGGGTTGCACCCATCCACTCCTGCTTCCCTGAAAGGCTTTTTACCCGGGAGCTATGAAATGTTTGGCCTCGCTTGGTGCATGTTTTCTTAGTGCATCGTGCATCTGCGTAATTGTGTTTTGCTGCTGCTTGTACTGCGTGTTGTCGCGTGTATACGCTACACAGAAGCACGACGCACGCAAGGGTTGCTGTGAGGCATCTTTCTGCTCTCTGCAGGCTAACTGCAGAGCCTTAGTCTTTGTAAGTCTTTCTGCTTACTACAATTGGGACGAGCTCATAGTCTCAATAAAGCTGAACCCAAATCTCTCGTTGATGTTAGTCAAGCCAGGATTTTACTGTACGGCGTGATCTAGGATTATATGCTAGTTTATTCTTTGGTGGATACTTTGGTGGATTTTTGTATGTTCGTGACGCTGTCTGTATTTGTCCTCTCCCAGGTCTGCCTGCACAGGCCCCCCAGCACGCCGAATCCACCAACCGTGCCCTGCTGATGGGCAGAGAGCCTCTGCCCACCTCTCTGGAGGAGAAGAGAGAGCAGTTAGGGACCCTTGTGACCCTCTACTGCACTGCAGGTGCAGCACATCTGACACAGAACAAATATCCTTGCACTTAAAAACACTTTGTTCTTAATGTATCTATTACAAAATGGTTTTTTTTAAATGCCCAGTAATGATACATAGCTTTTTACCGTGCAGTTCTCCTGTGCAACAGTTAACCACAAGATACAGCATCCTTTTGCAGTATGCAGGCTGCTGTTGCGACTGTGAATGCAAAACAGCCAAAGATGTTGTCCCAAGCTAGGAAGGTATCAAGAGCAGAGCTAAAAACAAGATGTGTGATTTGAAGATATGGGGACTAAGTTTTAGAACAGACTGCAAAGAGGGCCAGGGGGCTGTCCACCACTTGTCTGTAAATCAAGATAGGATGCACTTCCAGAGTACCTTTTACTCAGAGGTCTGATGCAAGAGCAACAAGACGAAAGAGCAGACAGGGTCATCTAATGCCCTCTTCTGGCCAAAAAGCTCCAACAAAACTGCATCACCAGCTCTGCTTTCAGGCACCAGCGCAACACATCAAAGCCTTACTACCTGCCTTCACCCACCCAGTTTCGGCAGCAGGACTGTGCATATTCTGCTATGCGGAGGCGAGCATGCTGATACTTGAGAATGCAATATTTGTGTTTCTTTCAGGGATTTTTTTTTTAAAGAAAGGAAAAAAAAAAAAAGGTCATATTTTAAGGTTTCTCCAGTGGTTAAACATTTCTGGAAAGATGTGATCAAGCTAAAGATCCTGCAAGATGAAAAGATAAAAGGCAAGTGCAAAGAACTACATCCCTCTAGCTGTTTCCTGACCCGCTCCATACTCTATGCAGGCTCTCACATCCTCACATCTTCGCTCATCCTTCAGCTGTGAAAGCACAAGCCACACTCAGCTGGGAGCAGTGAACTGAAGGTTAGCAGCTACTTTTGTGGAATCAGAAACAGTAACGAAAAATGCAAGAAGTTGTTTCTTCTAACTAAAAGCTCTGATCTGATCATTAGAAACACCTAAAATGAGCACTGGGAGTTCAGAAGCAGCTGGCGTCACACTGTAAGACTGCTCTGGAAGCAGGAACCTGCACAAAAACCTCTTTTCTCAGTAGCTTCTGTGCCTATGGCTTTGTGTGCTTTGGCTGCTGATTAAATGTTTCTAGCGAGCGCTCTTCTCCCTTCACTGTTGCACTGGCAGAGCATCTTACCTCTACCTGCGAAAGGCAGAGAGACTCCTGGAAGAACTGCATGGACTCGACGCAGTTTCTAGCATGAACCTGGGATTAAAAAATCTCTGAGAAGGGTCTAGTCATTGCACTGGGCAGATGAATGCAAAAGGCTACACACAGATGTCATTTGTGTGCCTTTGGGAAAAGAGTATGTGGTGACAGCTCAAAAAAAAGAGTAAATGACACCAGGCACGACACGTCAGTGCTGTCGCTGTAATACCTGCTAACTTTCAATGGGTGTCTGGTTTCCCTCTTTTTCCAGAACATCGCCAACCAAACAAGCTGGAAGCTGCTACACTATGAAAAAGCAGCCGATGCTGTCATTTCATCAGAAGTAAACACAGCACCTGACCTGATACAGCTATATGAGGAAGTTGCCCAAACTGAACAGCTGAAGAAGAACTATGAGAAAGCTGTAAGTAAGTTATTTATTGCAAGTAAGAAAGATCCTGGTAATGTTAACCTGTTAAACCATGTTAAAATAATTAACACATATGCATCAGTCAGTATATAGGAAGATTTAGACTAGTCTAAAACAAATACTTTGGAACTTTTGTGTTCAAAATCTAATTCTTGCCCTTCAGTGTGACAAAAATAGCCTTCAGTTTTCAAGTACCACAAAGTAAAGCTCTTGAGTATAAATAGCTCTAAATTCCAGTGAGGTTAGAAATCTGGCCTGAAAATATTCAGTATAGGTCCGACCCTGAGAATATATTTTTAAAACTAGAATGGCTTGTTTATGCATTTCCTGCCTTAGAGAGGTAAAGCCTGAGAAAAGAGGAGACTGAGTGGTGATAATATCGCATGACAGAAGATAAGCTGATTAGTATAGTTGGAATTTCCTGTTACTTCATTGTCTATGAAAATACCCTTGTGCTTGTTTTACGTGGGTAGCCCTTCATCCTTGTGTTTACCAACCCCAAGGCCCTGTCTCTGTTTTAGGCACGTTCCCTTTGTGTGGCGCTCAACAGCAAACTCACAGTGTGGCAGTGGCTCGCACAGGGCTGCTGCTGGGTAGAGCTTAGATTGCAGCTGGAGAGGAGCAGCATGTTGGTGAGTGTCTCCTGAACAGGGAGAAGTGGAGGGCTGGGGGCAGAAAAGGGGAGATCTTTGTTTCTGGAGCAAAACACTGCAGAAGGCAGCAATGCACAGGAAAATTTGGAGACTACAAACACAGAGAATGCAAGAGTATGCACAGAGGTAACTCTACGCTGCCCTTCAGACTGCTGAACGCCCTACGTTCCTTGGATTTCATTACCAAATGTAGCACTTCTTTCTGCCTGCAGTGGCACAACTTCAGTTCTGCCATTAAAAAAACACACTCAAGCCAACAGAGACTGCAAAATTTAACCTTCTAATTTTCTGGGAGATAAAAACCCATCTCTTCATATCCAAAAAGTGCAATCGTTCTTGGGGGCATACATTGTTCCTGTAAGACTGCTCCTAATTGCTATAACAAAGTCAGAACAGGTGAGGAGGAGACTTGTTCAAGGAGAAAAGCAATCAGCTAAAAGTCCTTACTGTACATGTCTTCTAGAGGCAGCTGAAACATACTTTACAGAGAGCCTCAGCGCCTATCAAGCAATGCTGAGCACAGACAATTCCCAGACTCTTAGCACTGTTGAGGAATTCAGCAAGTGGCTTGTCCGACTAGGGAAAAATCAGGTAAGAACAAATATTTGCCTAGAAATTTTGCTGTACACCTGAATGTTGGCAATAGCTGCTCAAAGCTTGTCTGTGCAAGCAACCCAAGCACAACGTGGGAGGAGGGAGAGACACGCAATGCAATGGCAGCATTTTCAGTTGTCGCAATTAATTTTGCTGAAAGGTATGAATTGATGCCAAATATATTTTTAGTAGAGGACAATATCTTCCATAGGTTTTTGGTAGGGCAAGTTCATACTCCAAGTAATTTTATATCTCTATATAAATATTCTTGCATTTGTACTTCATAATCCTTTATGTGTTTATTGTTGAAGCACTGGATATGTCCTATGTAAAGCTGATTGGCACGTGCATATTTGGTGTCAAGTAATTCATTTCCCAACAGGTGACCAGTCTCACACGTGTTCAGATTTTTGACGGCATAAGGAAAGAGGAACTCAGTCTGGAATTCTGCTTGTTGGGCAGTTTGCTAAAAGTTCCTCATGTCTGGGACTGGCTGTGGGTTCCAAGAATACTGAAGTGCATTAAGCATGCACCAATCAAGCCTTTCAAAATACTTTGAAAAATTAATATATTTAATAAAATTAATATGGTTGGCAGTGATCCATGTTGCATCGTGCTCTCTCTCTCTCTCCCTCTAGCAGGCCTACACTCTGCTGAAAGACTTTTTGAACTGTAAGGCAGATGCCCATGAGGACTTCAGTGAGAAAGTTGTTGAACTTTATCATACAATGGGTAGCATTTATCTAGCAGACATAAGGATACAAGAAGCTCATCAGCTGTTCAGCAAGGTAATTATTATACTACATTTTGAGGTTTTTTTACCCTCTTACTTACCACCTGTCTTTGAAAATTTAAATGAATACCGTTACACAGAGCTCTGGGCTGCTGCATCAAAACTAGCTCTTGTTGAAGGCAGTTCAGATCTTTCTGTGCTACTGTCAGGTTTATTTTGCTGTGGAGGCCCATGATAGCTGAAGAGAATCAGAGTCACATTTTTGGTGGATATTCATGCACCTTTCTCACCATGTGTTAACTGCACAAAGCTCAGAGCTTTGTGGACACTTGATTGCGTTTCCCAACAAACAGTCTCACTCCTTTGCAGAGCCCTTTGATTAGATTTTTTTCACTAATATACTGCCATGGTAGTTGCTAAAGCACTACTAGGGGAGAGGGCACGCTAGAAAGACCAAAGCAGCCTCCACTACAGACCTTAGCTTCCATTTCTACCTAAGCAGTCCTGTTCCCCCTCAAAACTAATTTCATATAAACGTGAGTTTGTCCGAACAAGGTGTCAAGCTTCTAACTAGCTCTTACCATTCTAACAGCTCCATTAAAAAAAAAAAAAATCCATATTTGTTCAAATTATTGAACAAACTACTGAACTCAACTATTTATGTTTAAATAGTTAACATTAAGAATGTTCTGTCCATTACAGCACTGTTTAGTACTGCTATTATTCTTTACACAGTTTCTTTATGTATAAAACCCACCTACTGGATTCTTAGGGATTTATAAGTGGCTACAAAACAAAGTTCAAAATAGTCGCTGTAGGTAACTACACACAGCTTCTCATCTCAACTTTTCAAACTACTTTACTAACCTCACCGAAGACCCTTCTAGTCAAGGATGTTGGCATTTCCTTATGAATCCATACATAATTAGATATCAAACAATAATTATTTCCTATGACTGATTTTGAAATGAGGGTATACAAGTTAATTCCTTCTTGGTAATTCGGTGCTGAACAGTCCTCACGGATTCAAATGTTTGTGGATGGACATCAGCATGTGAAAGCCAGAGATGCAATGACTTCTCAGTACGTTATTAGAGGTAAGAGATAACATTAGCACTTGCATCGTTACTGTTTTGTTGCACAACCATTAGCAGGCCTTGGAGCCAAAGGCATTATATATATTTTGGCTTCTAGTATCTTAGCAGATCAATGGGATTAAAAACAAGTTGATGGTTTTCAGGTAGAGAAAAACAGGTGTCTTCCTGAAGACTTGAGGCCACTTATTCTGAAAAGCACAACCCAAAATGAATACAGAAAAAGTGGCTTTTGTTGCCCAGAGGTCCTAACAGCAGTAAATCAGAGCAGCCTGGGAGCACCCACAAGTTGTGGCAATCCTGAGACAAAAGTGCTGGGTTCCAGCTCCCACCTCCAGGGATTGTTTTTAAGTTTATGCTTCCAGTAAATCTGAGTACTTAGCTGTTCTCTATTTTATTGAGAAAGCAGGTGGGCAAATTTTGAGCCCTTCTAGTACTTCTGAGATTGACAGTATTAAAAAAAACCCCATGAACTAAGTGTTTCTGCTACTACAGGTTTCCTATTGTCTGCGAGGTGAATAGACTTGTCAAGTAGAAGAAAGAAAAAGTACTAACAGTACCATTGTCAGCATTCTGGATCTCATGCAAAGTATGATAGGAAATTAGATCTAATGCAGTGGTGGAGGTTTGCAGAATTTAAGCAACTTATCATGTCAAAAAGATGTGCAACAGCCTTCCCTTTGTCCTTCTTAGCAGCTCCTCCTGGAGGTCATCACTAAGCATCTGGAGGACAAGAAGGTGATCAGGAGTAGTCAGCATGGATTCACCAAAGGGAAATCATGCTTGACCAACCTGATAGCCTTCTATGACGGGATGACTGGCTGGGTAGACGAGGGGAGAGCAGTGGATGTTGTCTTTCTGGACTTCAGCAAGGCTTTGGACACTGTCTCCCATCACATCCTCCTAGGTAAGCTCAGGAAGTGTGGGCTAGATGAGTGGACGGTGAGGTGGATTGAGAACTGGCTGGATGGCCGAGCTCAGAGGGTTGTGGTGAATGGCGCAGAGTCAAGTTGGAGGCCTGTGGCGAGTGGTGTCCCCCAGGCGTCAGTCCTGGGTCCAGTCTTGTTCAATATATTCATCAATGACCTGGAGGAAGGGACAGAGTCCACCCTCAGCAAGTTTGCTGATGATACTAAACTGGGAGGAGAGGCTAACACACCAGAAGGCTGTGCTGCCCTTCAGAGGGACCTGGACAGGCTGGAGAGGTGGGCAGAGAGGAACCTCCTGAAGTTCAACAAAGGCAAGTGCAAGGTCCTGCACCTAGGCAGGAATAATCCCATGCACCAGT